TGGAAACCGCTGCAAAATAAATCATAACAGAGTTCGTTTATATATATATATATATATATATATATATATATACTGTAGAAGTGTTAAAGGTACAGTAGAAAAAACAGCTTGTTTAATTCTTAAGGTCAGAGGGCCATTCATGAAACAAGAATCTGCATAAATAGTGCATAAATCCATTATGTAAGTTGCTGCATTCATTCAATGGGACAGTTATATACAAATGGATTTATGAGACACTCATGAATTTGCTCTGCTTCTGTTTCATGAATGAGGCTCAAAGAGGAGGATTCGTTGTGTAAAACTAAATTACTGTTTTTAGTGCAAGAAAATGTCACTGTTATTATGCATAGTCTTCAGGGGGGGAATTAAAATGCTGCAAGATTGCAAAATGTCCCCCTAAAGCTGGGAGATTGTACAGCAATCAGTGCTGTCTTTCAGCGGTAAAAGACCATGACCCACTGCTCCTGCTGTGGTCAGCTCTATTTGCGATGCTTTGTTAGTGTAAAGTACTAGCTGTCTTCAGCTGTAGTCATGTCTTTGCTGTGTGTGTTATCATCTCAGCATTCAAGCTGCCAGTAGGAGTGGATTAGAAGAACCGTAGGAAGTTTATTAGACAGCCAAGCCTCTGTGTGTGTGTGTGTGTGTGTGTGTGTCTGTGTCTGTGTGCGTGTGCGTGTGTGTGTGTGTGTGTGTTTTAAAGCTCTGAAATATCTCTTCAACCAGACACCAAATGAGTTCACAGCTTGCAATAAAATAATATATTGTGACAATCCCCTGCCGGTTAATCTCTCCTCACCTTCTCCACACTCTCTCTCTTGTCTAAGTCCCGCCCTCACAGCCGTACATCCAGCTGGAGTCTGATGAGCCGTGGGTGGAGGGAGACGAATACACGGTGACCTGCATCGCTCCTGATGCAAAACCTCCTGCAGAAATCACCATGTTCAGAGGTACGCCGTCACTTAAGAGCCCGACTCTTTATTATGTCCATTAAGTGGGGCTCTTATGAGAGAATTACACTGTAGATACACAACACCGATAAAAGATGAAAACTCTCGCTGGGAGCTTTCAAAGCAGTGGCTGTAAACTCAAACCAAGAGACTTCATGATTCATTTACTAAGTTTGTGTCACGCCATCCCTTGGCAAGAAGTACCCCGAGGCAGCCTACTGACTCTATAACTTCTGGGGGTTTTTTTTCTTTCTTTTTTCTCAGATGTAGAGGAGCTGACGGAACCCGATTCTTTCACAATGTCAGGCTCACAGGATAAACTTCTGAACACTCATGCTGAAGTCGTGTAAGTCTGTGTGCGAACAATGAAGGTATAGAAGGTTCTTTGTTATATATATATATATATATATATATATATACTGTAGAAGTGTTAAAGGTACAGTAGAAAAAACAGCTTGTTTAATTCTTAAGGTCAGAGGGCCATTCATGAAACAAGAATCTGCATAAATAGTGCATAAATCCATTATGTAAGTTGCTGCATTCATTCAATGGGACAGTTATATACAAATGGATTTATGAGACACTCATGAATTTGCTCTGCTTCTGTTTCATGAATGAGGCTCAAAGAGGAGGATTCGTTGTGTAAAACTAAATTACTGTTTTTAGTGCAAGAAAATGTCACTGTTATTATGCATAGTCTTCAGGGGGGGAATTAAAATGCTGCAAGATTGCAAAATGTCCCCCTAAAGCTGGGAGATTGTACAGCAATCAGTGCTGTCTTTCAGCGGTAAAAGACCATGACCCACTGCTCCTGCTGTGGTCAGCTCTATTTGCGATGCTTTGTTAGTGTAAAGTACTAGCTGTCTTCAGCTGTAGTCATGTCTTTGCTGTGTGTGTTATCATCTCAGCATTCAAGCTGCCAGTAGGAGTGGATTAGAAGAACCGTAGGAAGTTTCTTAAGCCTCTTTGTGTGTGTGTGTGTGTGTGTGTGTGTGTGTGTCTGTGTCTGTGTGCGTGTGCGTGTGTGTGTGTGTGATGGACTTACTGAGCCAGCCGACTGTTTCTCCTTTGGGCAAATAATCTTTAACCTTATAAGAGATCTCACAAGTGGCAGACACATTCCAATTAGCACACTGCTCATTAACACTTATTTGCATGTATGCACACATAATCACAACACAAAACCTTGCATGCATTTTAGCTCAGATAAAACATTGTCCAAAGTCAGACAATACCCTTGCACACACTTAAGATGACATTTCAGCAGTCAACACCAATACCAGTGAAATTTCACATTTAGCGATATACAGGTTTGGAGAAATTTAGCATTACATCACTTGCTCACTAATGTATCCTTTGTAGTGAATGGGTGCCGTCAGAATGAGAGTCCAAACTGCTGATAAAAAACAATAATCCACAAGAAATATATATATCCATCCAATTATCCTTTTTTTGCCAAAATGTTGTATGGTTATTATTAATGACATAATAAGTAAACAGCAAAGTACAGATATACAGTATCTCACAGAAGTGAGTACACCCCTCACATTTTTGTAAATATTTTATTATATCTTTTCATGTGACAACACTGAAGAAATGACACTTTGCTACAATGTAAAGTAGTGAGTGTACAGCTTGTATAACAGTGTAAATTTGCTGTCCCCTCAAAATAACTCAACACACAGCCATTAATGTCTAAACCACTGGCCACAAAAGTGAGTACACCCCAAAGTGAAAATGTCCAAATT